CCCAAGGAGAGTACTGGTAGTAGGTTCCCAAGGAGTGTACTGGTAGTGTGTTCACAAGGAGTGTACTGGTAGTAGGTTCACAAGGAGTGTACTGGTAGTGGGTTCCGAAGGAGTGTACTGGTAGTAGGTTCCCAAGAAGTGTACTGGTAGTAGGTTCCCAAGGAGTGTACTGGTAGTAGGTTCCCAAGGAGTGTACTGGTAGTGGGTTCACGAGGAGTGTACTGGTAGTGGGTTCCGAAGGAGTGTACTGGTAGTGGGTTCCCAAGGAGTGTACTGGTAGTGGGTTCCCAAGGAGTGTACTGGTAGTGGGTTCCCATGGAGGGTACTGGTAGTGGGTTCCCAAGGAGTGTACTGCTAGTCGGTTCCCAAGGAGCGTACTGGTAGTGGGTTCCCAAGGAGTGTACTGGTAGTAGGTTCCCAAGGAGTGTACTGGTAGTAGGTTCCCAAGGAGTGTACTGGTAGTGGGTTCCCAAGGAGTGTACTGGTAGTGGGTTCCCAAGGAGAGTACTGGTAGTAGGTTCCCAAGGAGTGTACTGGTAGTGGTTTCCCAAGGAGTGTACTGGTAGTGGGTTCCCAAGGAGCGCACTGGTAGTAGGTTCCCAAGGAGTGTACTGGTAGTGGGTTCCCAAGGAGTGTACTGGTAGTGGGTTCCCAAGGAGAGTACTGGTAGTAGGTTCCCAAGGAGTGTACTGGTAGTGGGTTCACAAGGAGAGTACTGGTAGTAGGTTCCCAAGGAGTGTACTGGTAGTGGGTTCACGAGGAGTGTACTGGTAGTGGGTTCCGAAGGAGTGTACTGGTAGTGGGTTCCCAAGGAGTGTACTGGTAGTGGGTTCCCAAGGAGTGTACTGGTAGTGGGTTCCCATGGAGGGTACTGGTAGTAGGTTCCCAAGAAGTGTACTGCTAGTAGTTTCCCAAGGAGCGTACTGGTAGTGGGTTCCCAAGGAGTGTACTGGTAGTAGGTTCCCATGGAGTGTACTGGTAGTGGGTTCACAAGGAGAGTACTGGTAGTAGGTTCCCAAGGAGTGTACTGGTAGTGGGTTCCCAAGGAGCATACTGGTAGTGGGTTCCCAAGGAGCGTACTGGCAATAGGTTCCTAAGGAGTGTACTGGTAGTAGGTTCCCAAGGAGTGTACTGCTAGTGGGTTCCTAAGAAGCGTACTTGCAATAGGTTACTAAGGAGTGTACTGGTAGTGGGTTCCCAAGGAGCGTACTGGTAGTGGGTTCCCAAGGAAAGTACTGGTAGTAGGCTCCCAATGAGTGTACTGGTAGTGGGTTCACAAGGAGTGTACTGGTAGTGGGTTCCCAAGGAGTGTACTGGTTGTGGATCCACGAGGAGTGTACTGGTAGTGGGTTCCCAAGGAGTGTACTGGTAGTAGGTTCACAAGGAGCGTACTGGTAGTAGGTTCCCAAGGAGTGTACTGGTAGTAGGTTCCCAAGGACTGTACTGGTAGTTGGTTCCCAAGGAATATACTGGTAGTGGGTTCCCAAGGAGTATACTGGTAGTAGGTTCACAACACAAGGAGTATACTGGTAGTGGGTTCACTACACAAGGAGTATACTGGTAGTGGGTTCACAGCACAAGGAGTATACTGGTAGTGGGTTCACTACACAAGGAGTGTACTGGTAGTGGGTTCACAAGGAGTGTACTGGTAGTAGGTTCCAAATGAGTGTACTGGTAGTAGGTTCCCAAGGAGTGTACTGCTAGTGGGTTCCCAAGGAGTGTACTGGTAGTAGGTTCCCAAGGAGCGAACTGGTAGTGGGTTCCCAAGGAATGCACTGGTAGTGGGTTCCCAAGCAGTGTACTGGTAGTAGGTTCCCAAGGAGTGTACTGGTAGTAGGTTCCCAAGGAGTGTACTGGTAGTGGTTTCCCAAGGAGTGTACTGGTAGTGGGTTCACGAGGAGTGTACTGGTAGTAGGTTCACAAGGAGCCTACTGGAAGTAGGTTCCCAAGGAGTTTACTGGTAGTGGGTTCCCAAGGAGCGTACTGGTAGTGGGTTCCCAAGGAAAGTACTGGTAGTAGTTTCCCAAAGTGTGTACTGGTAGTGGGTTCACAAGGAGTGTACTGGTAGTTTGGTTCCCAAGGAATGCACTGGTAGTGGGTTCCCAAGCAGTGTACTGGTAGTAGGTTCCCAAGGAGTGTACAGGTAGTGGGTTCCCAAGGAGTGTACTGGTAGTGGGTTCCCAAGGAGTGTACTGGCAGTGGGTTCCCAAGGAGAGTACTGGTAGTGGGTTCCCAAGGAGCGTACTGACAATAGGTTCCCAAGGAGAGTACTGGTAGTGGGTTCCCAAGGAGCGTACTGGTAGTGGGTTCCCAAGGAAAGTACTGGTAGTAGTTTCCCAAGGAGTGTACTGGTAGTTTGGTTCCCAAGGAGTGTACTGGTAGTGGGTCCACGAGGAGTGTACTGGTAGTGGGTTCCCAAGGAGCGTACTGGTAGTGGGTTCCCAAGAAGTGTACTGGTAGTGGGTTCCCAAGGAGTGTACTGGTAGTGGGTTCACAAGGAGTGTACTGGTAGTAGGTTCCCAAGGAGTGTACTTGTAGTAGGTTCCCAAGGAGAGTACTGGTAGTTGGTTCCCAAGGAATATACTGGTAGTGGGTTCCCAAGGAGTGTACTGGAAGTAGGTTCCCAAGGAGTATACTGGTAGTAGGTTCACAACACAAGGAGTATACTGGTAGTGGGTTCACTACACAAGGAGTATACTGGTAGTGGGTTCACAACACAAGGTGTATACTGGTAGTGGGTTCACTACACAAGGAGTGTACTAGTAGTGGGTTCACAACACAAGGAGTATACTGGTAGTGGGTTCACTACACAAGCAGTATACTGGTTGAGGGTTCACATCACAAGGAGTATACTGGTAGTGGGTTTACAAGGGGTATACTGGTAGTGGGTTCACAAATGGTATACTGGTAGTGGGTTCACAAAGGGTATACTGGTAGTGGGTTCATAAAGGGTATACTGGTATTGGGTTCACAAAGTGTGTTCGCACCTACTATAGTGACAACGTGTTCTCTCTTAGTATAGCGTTAGTTTGTATATCAGCTATATTGTAACTAGTTTGTAACTTAGTAATAAGAATAACTGGCTACTTATATAGGGCTGAAATGCCCGCTGCAGGGACATGCTCTGAGCGCATACAACATGATGGACATTATTACCCCGGATAACCCAAGCTGCCTGTGAGGCGCTAGAAGATTAATAGTCATATGAATTATACTACCGGGTACCCATGTTCGGCTGGGTGAACAGGGGCAGTTGTGAAGAAACTAACTTGCCTTAGGTGTGACCACATAGCTGCTTCGTTTATCTGTTTATACACTAAGAGGGAAATCAGCCACTTTAAGAACAGTTACATGTGATTCTGGTGAAAAGGCCGATAATCTGAACTGATATTGCACAAACGCGAGCACGATAACAACAGTTTGGTGTCCTGTATAATTGTCGAAATGAGAATGTAAGAATGACCAGGAAAGTGAATATCCGCTGTAAAAGTTAAAGTATTCTTACAAAATACACGTACACATATTCCTTATCCAAAGAACAATTTATTTGTGAAAAGTACTTCTATAGTATAAACATTAAGTCAGAGAGAACATCATTGGCTGATTCCCGTTGTTGTTAATATGATTTTATGTTTTGCAAAGGAAAAGTTTCATGCACTTGAAAATATATGTAAATACTGCAATCGTGGTGCTGCTGAAGATGAATATCATGTTGTTTTGGTATGTGATTTATACTCAGAGTTGACACAGTGCTACATACCACCTAAATTTACTAATTGTCCATCCAAGCAAACCTTTTGTGTTCTTATGTCAACGCCAAACAGGAACCCAGTATGTAACCTCGCATTCTTCATTAACCATTGCTTGTTACATAGCAAGTTCACCACTCACTCACTGTAATGAGTGTAACATTGTTTATTAAGCTGGTTAAATGTATATACAGACATAGTGTATTCTTGCAACCAAGCGATATTACCATTTTGTGTATCGTGCGTGTATGTAACATATATAAGTGGTACATAATGATGTAACCATATACTAGTACCTCTAATGCCGCAGAACGCGGCCGGGGGTTCAGTTCAGTTCAGTTCAGTTCAGTTCAGTTCAGTTCAGATCAGTTCAGTTTAGTTCAGAAAATAAAACATATACAATATGTAAAATTTATATGCAACTCAAAAAAGCACCCCCGACATTTTGTTTATCCTAAATATATTTCATTGTCCAAAAAGCCAAAGGGATTGGGCACAAGTGCACCACTTCTTGTCTTGTCACTGGACATTTCCATATGGCTTTGATTAATGATTCAGTTTGTGAAAAATCAGGTGCAAATATATCCAATAAAAGCCCATGCAAGTCTATAATATGTGGCAAGTCTAGATTACTTCAGAAAATGAAGAAAAGTCTCTAAGTTCTTTATATTTTCTTGATATAATTCAAGACTGTATTCTGTAGAATATGTATATTACAGAGACCAGATGTTAGTCTATTAAACCTCCTTTGAGTTAATGTATATTTAGAGTGAATAAACATCTCTGTTAAAGAACACTGGTTGCACTGATAGAGTGGTGATTCGTTTCAATCTGTTTAGGCAGTTAAGCAGGACACCGCTGACTTTGTCGAAATTAATTCGCCCGTGAATGCGGTTCGTCTTGCGGTGAATCTACTGAATAAAAGTCGTTCAAAGTGGTCCATCTTACCGCCACATAACCGATAACAACATGTTGCCACAGAAGGCAATTTGCATGCATTATAATCTAATTAAACAATTGATATGGGTGTCTCAGCTGTTCCTCATGCACAGTCACACACCAATCAGTCACGAACTGCTTGTAGACAGCATCACATGTTTCCGTTGCGTCATTTAATGTCTGTTTCATTCCGTCTTTACTTCCGGGAGTTCGCTGGCCATCGTTATGCTGCCAATAAACCACACGAGATTTTAATCACGTGACAAGCTTGTCCACTCCCGCTGTCAGGTTATATAATTATTCAATTATTTGGAATATAAAATGTCAGATTGATCGACCCCCGTGTGTGATACGTCAATCAGGTCGTATATATAGACGTGTGCCTGTCAGGCAAATCAGACCCAGCTCCTCAATACATGGTGAGTATATTTTGCCTCCAAAGATGACCGTTTCTAATCTGTAATTTATATAAAACTGGTTTGTTGTTTAATAACCCAAATAGGGCTCGATACATCACCACACATTATGCTACGTTAATGTCTCGATATATTACAAGTAGTTTACCTGATGTATCAACTTTAATAAGCCTTTCCTTGTCCAAAGCTTTCAAATTAGTGTTTTCCCTAGGCATTTTAGCAGGGGGCAGCGCCTTGCCCTTTTTATTTGGCGCCCTGCCCTTTTTATTTGACCCCCTGTCTTTCTTTTTAATACAATAATTGATTTAACACTTGGTGGTTTTCAGTTTCTATTTCACGTTTAAGTTATGTGAAATAACTGTGCCCTTAGAGTCTTTAAGAATCATTTGCATGCATAACTTGACATAATACTTCCAAATCTGTCATTGCGTGACCATTTTTTGGAATAAGGGTGACCCTTTTTAAATGCGTTTGGATCCTTGGGGAAACACTACAAATACATTGACGCTCCATCTCTCAGAGCCTTATAATATTAAATGTTATGCTCACGGGTATTATTGATGCTTGAATTTACCAGGAAGTACATAGTTACTGTGTAAAGTACATTATTCGGTGTTCTTCAGTTCAAACATTCTCATATTTCCTACTAAAGGGTGTAATATCTCTGCATGCTCTGTCCGCGGCTTTTTCTGGTACTGGAAGTATATAAATGGACGCAGCCTGCTACACTGGGTTTGTAATTGACAATTTATCAAGAATTTATAACTTTTTTAGTCACGATATAGCTGAAATATTGTCGATGTGACTGTAAATCTATCTCACTCACTCACTCACTCAATCGCTCACTTACCCACCCACCCACCCACCCACTCACTCACTCACTCACTCACGCTCACCTAGCTCGGGTTCCTGATTTAGTGTCACCACTCATGTAAACTCTATGTAACAAAATTCAACTGAATGGAGCGAACTACCCACTCCCTTTCCTAACAAGCAACAACGCATTCGGCAGAAATATTTTCTAAAGGTAGCCTTCAGCTTTTCTCCTCTGAGCAAATAAACGTTTCAAGTAAATATTTGCTCACCAATTTCAAAGATTGTATCCTAACGGGTTGTGTTATTGCTTGCGATATTAGTGTTTATTATGTGTAAAAAGTTTTCACATGCCGTATGACGGGTATTTTCCTGCTACAGATGCTGGTCTTGCCCTTCATCCTGTCCTGCCTGTGGCTAGCTGCATGCGGTGAGTACAAGTTCCTGGAGATGAGTTTGGTCAAACGGACTTAGTCTTTTAAGAAACCTTGGTAAGGCAATGGTCGGAAGTACGTTTGTTCGATATGGTCCCCGATTACCAGTAAATATTGTCACGAGTGGATTTATTTATTAGTTTAGTATATACACTTCGATACAGAGCAGACATCAATACATTTCTGTGAAATACATAAACTACGGTTATAACGAACTCAAAGGGACCACTAATTTAAGTTCGTTTTAATCGTAGTTTGTTATAAAGGATTCTAACTTTTATATGACAAAGTATACAGGTAATGGCCCGGACAAATACCAGTTCGTTATATCCGTCAATTTGTAGTAAGCGTGTTCGTTATAACCGGTACTATTCCGAATATTTGTCCCTTGTTCATAAATTCTGAAAGTCCTTTATGTGGAATGTTATTTTACTATGGATAGATAATCAAAAGGTCAGAGTTATGAGTGGGTTATTGTTTATAGTATTAATAATCTTTCTCAGAAAATTTGTGTAATCTGATCAGAGGTGAAGACAGCCCTTCAGCTGATTTATTGACGGAATGACGTCACCTAAAACTCATGGTGTTTGGAAACAATTGATATTAAGTCCGGCTTAATAATCATGTACTCCTCTGACATTTGAATAGAGTTTCCTTGATAACATTTTGTGGGTGTGTACTGAAGTGTGCGGGGAATTGTATGCGTAGTAGTAGTGGTAGTGGTAGTAGTAGTAGTGAGAGTAGTGGTAGTGGTAGTGGTAGTGGTAGTAGAAGTAGTGGTAGTGGTAGTAGTAGTAGTAGTAGTGGTAGTGGTAGTAGTGGTAGTAGTAGTGGTAGTGGTAGTAGTAGTAGTGGTAGTAGAAGTAGTGGTAGTGGTAGTAGAAGTAGTGGTAGTAGTAGTGGTAGTAGAAGTAGTGGTAGTAGTAGTAGAAGTAGAAGTAGTAGTAGTAGGAGGAGTAATAGTAGAAGTAGTAGTAGTAGGAATAGTATCAGTGGCAGTAGTAGTAGTAGTAGCAGCAGCAGTAGCAGCAGCAGCAGCAGTAGTAGTAACAGCAGAAATGGTAATAGTAGTATTTGGTGTTGGTAATGGTGGTGGTTCAATAATAATATTAGTAGAATCTGTAGAAGCATCAATAGTAGTAGAAGTAGTAGAAGAAGAACTGTGGTAGAAGATGTTGTAGTTGAAATACAAGTTGTTGCAGTAGCAGAAGCAGAACTAGTAGGGGTGGGAGTTTTTGCAGTAGTAATAGTAGTTGTATTTGGCGTACTAGCAGCAGTTAACGTTGTAACAGTAGATCCACAAAAGTTGATGTCCTTAGGGCCCTGAGGTAAAACGGCATCTGTCCACAACAGTAAAAGTAGCAACAAAATCGCAGGATCGAACCCGACAGACAGCGCATGTATAATACCCTATTCTGACAGAGTAGCAGACAGGAGAGTCACAATCTAAACAACCAATTACCTCCCTTTACACGGAAGTTAACGGTCACAGCGAAGTCCGACGAAAGCATCCATTACGAAAGACAATGCCTCGCTGGATATTGTGGGTTTTCATGAGCGCGTTCTCCGCCTGGTGACTATATGTGTATCAGCATGGCCGGGTCAACCAGGGTATTTATGATTAGTTTGTGATTAATGTTTTATATTAGCAGTGACACACCTGTACAGGTAGAATGTGCGCACGATCAATGTTTGTTCTGCTTGACGGGGAAGTGAAAACCGGTCCAGTGTCAGCAGTTACACGGAACTCCCATGAGCCGTTAAGTTTAATTTCAGTAAATGAATATGATACATGCATACGTAGAAATACATTCGGGTGGAAACTTGTTTGTGCGGATTGACGGGTAAGTGTGTCGTCTGTAGCTGTCTCTCGGTCTAAAAAAATTACCCGTGGTGGTTTCTGTTACGAATACATTCCAGCCACACATGCTTGTGGTCGGGCTCGATGAGATGTGGTTGATTTCAGGTCATCGTGACTCAGCTGCCTGCATCGATGCTCGTAATATCAATCTCTCGATGTTTAGGTCGGCCAGACAAAATATTATCTTTACGCAACAAGGGTAATCTTAAAAATTGTGTTTACGAAAAAAAACCACGAACTGAAATTCACCTGTCACTTGTTGTTTTATACGTATTTTTTACAATTTACCTAACATGCAACAGAAGTTGTGTCATTGTAATATATTTCAATTATGATCACACACAACGGTTTTTCAGCCGTTACGATCCAGGTTAGAACTGGTCTTCAGTAACCCATGCTTGTCGTAAGAGGCGACTAACGGGATCGGGTGGTCAGGCGCGTTGACTTGGTTGACACATGTCATCGTATCCCAATTGCGTAGATCGATGCTGTTGAGCATTGGATTATCTGGTCCAGACACGATTATTTAGAGACCGCCGCCATATTGCTGGAATATTGCTGAGTGCGTTAGACAAACTAACAAAAGAATGCCTTCTGTGTACAGTTGACCTGCATTTGACATCCGCTGTTTGTTTCCAGTCATGACGTGTGAGCGGGTCGTGTGTTACTACACAAACTGGGCCCAGTATCGTCCTCAAGGAGAGAAGTTCTTCCCGGAAGATGTGGATGCAACTAAGTGCACACACATCAACTACGCGTTCGCCAAGCTCGTGGGGAACCACCTGGCGCCTTATGAATGGAATGACGATTCTACAGACTGGTCCAAGGGAATGTATGTTGTGGATTCGAAACTTTCCATTATACAGATTTAGTTTCAGGAATACATGTACAGGGCTCCAGATAACTTTTGGGGGGTGCGAGTGTACTTACACATCATATTGCAAGTGGAGGTGTACTGAGAATTTTGAAGGAGTACTGACATGTTTTTGTGTGAGCGAGTTGTGATGTGGTTTGTCTGGACGATTCATCGATCACTATTTCCTACCATGTATTTGTATTTGAAGACGCGTGAGAAATAACTGAGCGACCGTGTGATGCGCGAAATGTCAGGTCCGACTTGATATAAATAGGAAAAGTAGTTTTCCGCCAATCGAAAAATAGTGACGCATATCGTTGCATGGCAACGCATGTGATTCCTGCTGTCGGGGTTTCCTCATGTGTCAAATCGTGTTTCGCAAAAGAAACTTGACAAGTGTTTATCCGAAATAGATTTCAATTTGCACGGAAATTAAATGTTAGACGTACAAAGGTATTTATGTGCGTACACGATACGCTTGAAATCTTATATTATGTCGTACTTAATTGATTTTGAGGCGTACATTACGCCTGTACGCCCCTTATCTGTAGCCCTGTCATGTATATCTATGTTGCCAATATAACAAACAATATTTGCAAGCGGGACAGATGATTCCAAGCAGAATTCTATGATATTTACTATGTTATGGTGATAAAAGTATGTGTTTACTGATACGCGCTGCAATTAGGCATTGCGGTAACTTTGGCGTGATGAAACTAGCTCGATCCTTGGAAAATAACAATATTTTCATATGTATGCTTTTCACAGGATTACATGTTGGAATTAGCTCATTGCTTGCTTTGAAACTTTTTGACGATCTGCAGTGACCATACTTTAATCACCGAGTTCCCTAATTCATACACAATGCTGGTTGGCTTAAAACAACATTCGATTCCATTGTCCTTCCTGGTAGTAAAACCCGCGGAGATTATTTTATAATAATGTTCAAGAACCAGGTCTTCGAATTCTGCTGAGACGTCAGCGTATAATGCATGTGAATGCATTCAGTAATGCTTGGTCTGAATAACGAAAAATGTGTATACGCTTCTCATACGGAAGGCATAAAATGCAAACAGAGTTTGTAAGGTGTCCCACTTCACGCAGTATTTACACTGACGCGCACAGGGTAATTCAGTGTATTTGTGAATGTGGGAGGGAGGGAGATAGCCCTTAGACCGGGTTATTAATTCAGTGTATTTGTTCACGTGGGAGGAAGGACGATAACCTTTAAGCCGGGATATTAATATATTAATTCAGTGTATTTGTGAATGTGGGAGGGAGGGGGATAGCCTTTAAGCCGGGATTTTTATTAGTTTATTTGTCCAAATACACGTGTGTGTGTGTGCGTGCGTGCGTGTGTGTGTGTGTGTGTGTGTGTGTGTGTGTGTGTATGTGGTTTATAGTATAAATATGTAACAAGTATAATTGCTACTACTCGTGTCATGAAAATGTGATACTTTGCAAAACATTATGGATTAGCTGAAAATGTCCGGAAACAACAGTTCGTTGAAATGAAGGATACTCTTCGTTAAATGCGTTAATGGTCAAAATCATGACAACGGACTCTTTCAGCCCTTTATCCTATGTCCAGGTATGAACGACTACACGACCATGCCAAGAAACAAAACCCCGACGTGAAGATATTGTTGTCTGTCGGTGGCTGGAACATGGGGTCAGCAACGTTCACAGCTATGGTGAAAACAGCAGCCAACAGACAAGATTTCGCAACAAGTTCTGTGAAGTTTCTCAGGACAAGAAAGTTCGACGGCCTTGACCTTGACTGGGAGTATCCCGGAAAGCGTGGAAGCCCTCCAGAGGATAAGCAGAAATATGTTGAGCTACTTGAGGTACAATATGTTCATCAGTTCCTGCTAGTTTTATGTAAAAGTTAACAATTTTATTACTTAGACAAGAGGAGGGTTACCATCCTGGACCTCCTCAACAGACAGATATCCCCGACACCTCTTATTCACCTATTTTATATTGATAACGTTGAACTTCTTGATGATGGAAAGTTTCTCTCCCTTTTGGCAGAAATGTGATTGACAAGATTCATAGAAACATAGTAAATACGCTGACCTTGCAGTTGAAATATCTTGCTTGCATCCCAAGTACACTGTTGTCCGACTCCCCATTGTTCTCGAACCGTGAAGATCCGGGTTAGAATTAATCTTCAGTAACCCATGCTTGACGTAAGAGGCGACTGACGGGATCGGGTGGTCAGGTTCGCTAACTTGGTTGACACATGTCATCGCATCCCAATTGTGTCGATCGATGCACATGTTGTTGATCACTGGATTGTCTGAACCAGACTCGATTATTTGCAGACCGCCGGCATATAGTTGGAATATTGCTGAGTGCGGCTTAACATTATATCACTCACTCACTCCCATTCATCTACGTGCCGTTGATTTGGTACTCAATTCAGGAGTAACATTAGTTTCACCAAGACATGATTGTAACAGATTATGTTGTATCTTTTCTACCAGTTTATGTACATATCAACATAAGAGAGTGTTTTATTGCAGTTAGTTTAACCAAGACGTGATTGCTTCCCTGTCGAATTTGATAGTGTGACACGTGTCAGATTATACATGTATTTGTTCTGTTGCCTGTGCAATCCATTGCAGTGTTTCTTGAAAGGGTAACAGAAACTTATCTGTATTTACAGACGCTGGTGAATGTCTTTGAAGTGGATGCGAAGACAACCGGCCTCCCTCGTCTCCTGCTGACTGCCGCGGTGCCTGCTGGGAAGGGAAATATCGATGCTGGCTATGACATCCCTGTTATTTCAAAGTATACAGTGAATACTTTATTTGCATGAACGATAATGTTTTATAATAGCCCATTCATAACCTACTTATTGTTGTGAACAGATATAAATACAATCTTATCAATCGCTTAGGGTGGTTTTCCGGATAAACTGAGCTTCCGCTACATTGAAACGCATGCGCAGTTTAAACAAGAGACTTTTCAAATGTCTTGCTATTTATCAAATCCAACAGAATATTCTGGAGGATTCTGGACTACACGATTACAAAATACGTCCAAACAATGTTGTGCAATGAGGTGATACTAGAGTGATTGAGTGAGTCGAGCCTGATGATCATATTTGTCTTACCATGTTCGAGAAACCCGATTCTGGACGCTGGTTGACGTTAACGTTCACTTTACACAACGACACAAGAGTTGTTTGTTCTATGTTTAGGTAGAAATGTGTCACGTAGGAGTAGAATATATAATCTTGTATACCCTGGTGAAGCCTATGATATTTGGTTTTCTTGGGACCATATTGATGTGGGACTCAAGGTTTGTTTCCATTTTCTGAATAATGAGCACAGATGTTTCACAACCAAATGTCCTAAAGAGACGAATCTTAAATTCTAACCCGAGGTTACAGGATCCTTGTACACATGAAATCCGCAACTCCGCTTTTGCACCTAATGTTGATAACTGGAATGTCTCCCTGGAATGTCCCAGCTATCCTATTGGTAGTTATCGGTACAACGTCCTCTTATCAGACACCTGCGACTTCGTGCTTCAGATACTTGGACTTCATCAACATCATGACCTACGACCTGCATGGCTCCTGGGATAAAACTACCGGACACAACAGTCCCCTGTATGCTGATTCAAGTGAAAAGGGAGAGAACCGCTATCTCAACGTCGTGAGTGTCATTCATAGATAGCCTTTCATTTTGCTTGTACTGTCCTTAAAATGAAATTCGGATAAGTAAATCGTTGTATTTATGAAAGTGTTACCAGTGCTGCGTGAAGAGTCCGGTACGTATGTGTGTGTTTGTGTTTCAGGAGGAGGGGGCGATGTCATTGAAAATATTATTTGTCCCATAGAATGCTTGAAAGAATAATAACAGTACTTCTGATAAAGTTGAACAGAAACACTATTGCAAGATATGTGGGTGTTTTCTTTAAAAAACTATATAAAGGAGCATTGAGTCTACGTGTAATAGTCTAATACATCTAGTCTTCATAGAACATTCCATCCGCTTCCGTTAATCGCCACAAGCAAGGGTTGCAGACGGCCCCGAAATTGACATGGAGAAGTGTTCTTACATTAAAGTGACTCCATGGTCTGTCTGTTGGTATCGAGGGCCTTTAGCATGGACTGGTCAGTCCTGAGTCAGTTCAACGTCTCTTATCCATGTCAGATTGCGATATAACATCAATGGATGGATGGATGGATGGATCCATCCATAGCTTTCTTTTCGTTCGCGTAGTTTGAGAAAGTTACATTGAATTGTCCAGACGCATCAAGTCATTATCATTATCTCTGAATCTGCTTCAGGCCTGGGCAGCTGAGTACTGGGCCAAGAACGGAGCTCCCAAGGAGAAGCTGGTGATAGGGCTGCCCACATACGGCCGGACCTTCACCCTAGTGTCTCCCGAGGCCAGTGGCCTGGGGGCGCCGGCTCGGGGGGCGGGCACTGCCGGGAAGTACACCAGGGAAGCAGGATTTTTGTCCTATTATGAGGTGAAGTTCTCCTAGCAACATCTGCAGAGTTTATAAGAGTTATATTGGTTTGGAGTTGAAGCTTTTACATATGTCAATGTGCTTGATTGGGATGCGAATATGGCCTTATTGAAGAATACTCATATGGGTGGCCAATTATAATTAGTTTTAACTTAATGTTAAATTTCTTTTTAAATTTCTGAAAATCATCGTTCTAAAAAGCAATACGATTGGTGGATATTTTTTCAAGACTATTTATCATCAATCAATAATCTCTATTTGTTATTTACGCAATGTTTATTTAATGTTTAATCTTGCTATGTATTTTTTGCATAACTTCATTCTAAACGTCCTGACCTAAACTGCGTTAACATACCATCCGGATACCTGTTACTACGCTCTAGTCCAGGTGGAATTTCATACCTTTTGACATTTTTAATCATCTGGAACTTTTACCTCATATGCAAGGAATTATTGAACATTTGCTTGAATCCCAGATCTGCCAGTTGATTAAGAGTGGCGCGGATGTCCATTACATCCAGGACCAGAAGGTTCCTTACCTGGTCAGTGGTAACCAGTGGGTGGGATATGACGATCGGAACAGTCTCGAGACCAAGGTATGTATGGTAGAATTGTCAGTCTTCCAGACTCTAGAGAATTGGTTGGGGTATCAAGTGGGTGGGATATGACAATCAGAACAGTCTCGAGACAAAGGTACATATGGTAGATATGTCGGTCTTCCAGACTCTTGAGTGAGTGAGTGAGTTTAGTTTCACGCCGCTTTTAACAATATTCCAGCAATATCACAGCGGGGACACCAGAAATGGGTTCACACTTTGTACCCATGTGGGGAATCGAACACGATCTAAGGCGTCACTTGCGAATGCTTTAACCACAAGCCTACCCCACCACCCTCCAGACTCAGAGCATGGGGTGGGGTATCCAGTGGGTAGGATATGACGATCAGAACAGTCTCGAGACCAAGGTACGTATGGTAGATTTGTCGGTCTTCCAGACTCTTGAGTGAGTGAGTGAGTTTAGTTTCACGCCGCTTTTAACAATATTTCAGCAATATCACAGCGGGGACACCAGAAATGGGTTCACACTTTGTACCCATGTGGGGAATCGAACACGATCTAAGGCGTCACTTGCGAATGCTTTAACCACAAGCCTACCCCACCACCCTCCAGACTCAGAGCATGGGGTGGGGTATCCAGTGGGTAGGATATGACGATCAGAACAGTCTCGAGACCAAGGTACGTATGGTAGAATTTTCAGTCTTCCAGCCTAATGAGTGAGAGAATGAGTTTAGTTTCACGTCGCTTTAGCAATATCACGGAGGGGGACACCAGAAATGGGCTTCACACATTGTACCCATGTGGGGAATCGAACCCGGGTCTTCGGCGTGACCAGCGAACCAATATTGAACCAATTTGTTACTATACAACTGTAGGTTGCTCGAGTTACCCGCATGTGATGATTGCAAAGGATACTGCAGGAATCGTGTCATCGAAGTGCTGTATCTTTGCAGGAAACGTACAGTAGATTAATTACGATTAATTGTTGACCATTTAAAACAGATAATGTAAAATGAGATATTTGTCGATATGACATGACCACAACGTATTTGGTAATGGACACTGATTCCGGGTAGCCAACACTGAAAGCCGTATATGTGAGGCTCGGGAGATTTCTGAAATGGTTCTGATAGGGAGATGATTAGACACAGCTCTACCTGTCCACAGGTAAAGTTCATGAAAGACCAGGGATACGGTGGAGTGATGATATGGGCTCTGGACCTGGATGACTTCACTGGATCTTGTGGAGGAGAGCCATACCCGCTACTTAGTGCTATACATGGCCAGTGTGCGGCTGATGTTGGGAGGTACTGATTTTCTTGAATTGTGGACCAGTCTAATTGTTTAGTATTAGGGACCATTCATAATTTATGGCTAGGGGATGATGATGATGATTGGGGGTGGGGGTAGGGGTTGTCACCCATTGTGTTCTGGGGGTAGGGAGGGGGTCATCAGTTTTGTACAAATGCACTAGGGGGTCATCAATTTTGTAAATTGTGGAAATTATGCGTGAAAAATATATGCTTCTCCATAAAAATCACCATCACCCCCCACCCCAGCCATAAATTATGAACGGCCTCTTAGGTACAACTTGTGGTGACGTTTATGTAATTTTGGACTATATTTACGCAGCGTTTAAGGGACAAATGAATATGCTTGCTGAGTGTATGTTGAATCTCTAATACCTAAATGCTGACTTTCTGATCATGTGCGTTTTATATTCCAAGCACTCCCAAACCAACTGTTAAGCCGCCCCAGGCTTCAACGACAGGCTCATCCACTGGGGTGACGAGTACACCAAGTGCTTCAACAAGTGCTTCAACTAGTGCTACAACAAGTGCGTCAACTAGTACGACAACAAGTTCTTCAACTAGTACGACAACAAGTACTTCAACAAGTACTTCAACAACTGGGGTTTCAACGGCAGCTACACACCCTACAGACAAACCCACAGACAAACCTCCAGCTCCACAGCCAGGTGGGCAACACAGATAAATGTTGTTGGTCCTGCGTGCGTGCATGTGACTCTATATATACAGAGACGCTATATATAGCGTTCAAAAGCTGGTCCAGTGTTTGAAGCGTTCGTTCGGGTTCGATTCTTCTGGAATATTACTGAAAATCATGGAACCGTACTCACGTTCTCACTTAAGCGAGGTCGTATACGTTCACATTCAAAGGGAGACCACTCATTACTTGATGCAATATATGTCGATTGTCTGTCAATCTGTCTTGAAATCCTCAATATGACATCTAAGAACTATCCCTGTGACTTGGTAAAAGGGCGTGAAATAAAATATTACATTTAACAAATTAAATATGATAAAACAATGTTAAATTTACAAACTCACATGATGCGATGGGATGTTTCCAGGCCATCAATACAACAATGTCCGTATGACTGTTTTTGATTCTAGTTTTATAAATCTCGCACATGTTTGGTATCTGGACAATGCTAAATAGTGGTAATCAACCTTCACAGTTATATTGTAAGTACTTTTCTTTCAGACTTAACGAACTTCTGCGAAAACAGACCAGATGGCCTATATGCTCACCCCACAGACGACGGCCAGTTCATTCAATGCTATAACGGTGTTACCTACATACGTCCCTGTGCCCCTGGCACCGTCTTCAACCCACTACACGGCGTGTGCGACTGGCCCCACAACGTCCGTGCAGCTGAGGATACATAGAACATAATTATCACCTGTATTTATGAATATTACTAAAATTTGTTTTGCATGAACTGCCATCCATGTTATTGTTTCTGATTAGTTGCCAATATTTATAGTTCAATACTTTTAAATTGCTTCGCTTAGGGATGGCGGTTGGTGATTGTTACGAATGAACTTCATTTCGACGTATACAGTAGGCCTTTGGTATACGTTAATTATACGAAATATTCGTTTCTGGTTGTTGGTTTTTTGGGGTTTTTTGTTTGTTTGTTTTTGGTTGTTTTTTTGTTGTTGTTGTTTGTTGTTGTTTTTTTGGGGGGGGTTACATTACCGTTAAGATATTTTTATTTTTGATTAGCATAGCTTTTATGTTATCATGAAGCATAATGACATTTGTTGAAGGTAAAAAAGATCTTACATCATGACGACGGTGGGACAAGACCACTGAGCAAAGTTCATTATTGCAACGCTTGATACATACATTGTCGCGAAGAATGGTATATATTTACAATGCAACGTTAAACAGTCTTAGTTTTAGGTTGCAACCGAACAACCCCTTCCAGCTTCCAGTGCAACATCAACCTTTTTAAGCCTTGTTTACAAAAACTGTAACATCAGTTGTGTCTTAAAGGAAATATATTTTTCTTTTACAAATGTCCGCTTTGGAAATTGTTGGAAATAAATATTCTGTATATAAACGACCAGTGTCTTTCTTCTTGTCTATAACACCTAGGACGCTTGTGAATTATATCAATCAAGTTAATTTCAACAAATCAGTTTATGCTGCTTTGTAAACATAACTCTGTCCAGGCAGGAGGATCTGCTGGATTGTAAGTGAGTGAGTGAGTTTAGGTTTACGCCGCACTCAGCAATATTTCAGCTATATGGCGGCGGTCTGTAAATAATCTAGTCTGGACCAGACAATCCTGTGATCAACAGCATGAGCATCGTTCTGTGCAATTGTGAACCGATGACATGTGTCAAACCAGTCAGCGAGCCTGACCGCCCGATCCCGTTAGTCGCCTCTTACGACAAGCATGGGTTACTAAAGATATCAATTCTATCCCGCACCTTCACGGGTCGCTCGATTATAAGAAAAAAAAACTTCATTGGGCGCCAAAGGACCACTGTCAATAATGACACCAGGTGTCCGTAGAAAGGCTATTAGGCATGTCCTGTCATTGGTGTCTATGCATGAGTCTTTCTGTACAACGACTTCTTCCTTCTTTGTAAGGACGTGTCAGTGCCTCTTCTTGTCCCTTTGTAAAGTGAGTGAGTGAGTTGTGTTTTACGCCACTTTTAGCATTATTCCAGCAATATCACGGCGGGGGACACAAGAAATGGGTTTCACGCGTTGTACCCATGTGGGGAATCGAACCCGGGTCTTCGGCGTGACGAGCGAACGCACCTTTACAAGATCACATACATTGCATGGGTCCCTGTCTCAAGACCAAGCAATATATAGTTTGTAGTAGTGAAGACGGTTTAGACAAATTAATTTGCCAGTGCATGTGGAACTGACAAGCAGGAGCTGGTGCAATTGTAAATACAGTTTTATAGTTTAAGGGCGATGTGCATGGTAGTTGAGTTGATCAGATCCAGACATAGAATCATATGGAAAACATACTTTTTTTTATTACTGGGAACTTGCGATATTATTATCCATCGGATTCATGTAAAATTTCGTAATGAGTTGAAGAAAACATAAGAACCGCCTCATTATATGTATCTAAATACATTAATTTCTGAAACATTTATAACCGTTCAATAATAACACATTAGATTCACATAACGTTACACTGATTTAAAAATAAATAAGTTTATATGTTCCTGACATTTAAGAGTCAGATTGAACGATCTCATCTCAGAGCGCAAGGAGTTGTCTCCCTTCAACTTTGCCCCGGTTTGTTGCTCTTATGTCAATGTTACTGACAGCGTGGGTGGCTGGAGAAGATAACGAGAGTTTAGAAATGAGTTAAATGTCAAGTATGTTACAGGAACGGATGAAAGGGTTATCATTGTGCAAAGACGGAGAAAGAGCAAGGTCTATTTTAAGTCCAAGTGAAATAAAACATACAGATTAACAGATAAGCTGCTATTTGAACTGACCAAGATATGTGAACAAATATCTGGTACACAGGAACTTTGGGGAATATTGAAGCGTTGCAGTTTCAGTATTCTTGGGTTAAGAAGAGAACTGATTATTATTGGGCGTATATCATCATCATCAACTAAGAACGTATATAGCGCAAGAATCCAGTCAGTATAACTGCTCAAAAGCGCTTTGAGAGGATGCATGTCACATGTATCAGCAAGGTCCACTAGGTCTAGGCGTATGTCTTTGAGAAAAGATGGGTCTTGAGATTGGTTTTGAAAGGGGCCAAGTTATTTATAAGTCTCAGTTTTATTGGCAGATCATTCCAGAGTCGTGGAGCTCCTCTGGCGAAGGATCGATCTCTATAGATGGTGGTCCTTGCGTGTGGAACACACGGCATGCTTTGTCCAATGGATCTAAGAGACCTGGCTTGCTTGTATTCCTGGAGGAGTTCCTGGAGATACACAGGGGCTAGGCCTGTCCTTGCTTTGAAGGTTAACAGGAGCAATTAGTGTTGTTGTTTTTGTTTTGTTTTTTTTTGCTTGTTAGTTCTTTAACCATGCACTTAGCAGTATTCCAGCTATATGGCGGTTATCTGTAAATAATCGAATCTGGACAAGACAGTCTAGTGATATACTGTATGAGCATCGATCTACACAATTGGCATACGATGACAAATGTCAACCAAGTGAGACAGCCTGTCCATTTGAACTCGCAGGTTGCCGTTTACGACAAGCATGGGTTGAAGACCACATTCTAACCTGGATCTTCACGGGTTTCATTAAAATTTGATCTTTAAAGGAGAATACTACACAATTGCAATTGCTCGGTGAACGATAAAGTCATCAGAAACATGTACTCCGATTTTTAATTCAAACATATGGTTATTTGTGATTTAATCGCGAAATCAGTTTCTATTATCTGAGCTTCGGCCATTATGCATATTCCGCTGGAACTCACGTGACCGTTCCGCTCGTGACGTCATGTGTCTAGAGTCCGCCATGTTGCCAGAGACCAAGCGCTACAGTAATACAAATCATGTTGTTTCTGTCGTTTTTGTAAATGGTACCATGGTGTATTGCGTTGCCTGGGGATGCACGGCATCATCGAACAAAGGAAAGAGCCACCATTCCTTCCATTTTCCAAGTAAAAAGACAGATTTAGGCAGGAGAAATGTTCCGATCGAGTCGGGCGCATGTGAAAGAGACATGCACACATAGCGTATGGAAATCCAAAAGCTAGGCTGAAGAAGGAAGCAGTACCTGCGAGTTTCATTTATATTTCACCATTCCATGTTGCAACTTACTGTCAATGGTATGTTTCAACACTGATTAAATCAAGTTCGATTGTGATGAAATAGGGTACCAGTCGAATTGCCCCGGGTACAAAATGCCCCAGCACATTTGGTCAAGTTGCCTTGGATTTCTGGTCAAATTGCCCCAGGGAGGTAGTCAAAATGCCCAAATTTATTTTAAATGATTAAATATATGCCATAAATGCATATTTTTTGTCAACTTAGATATTATGTTCGTCATATATAAGTTATATAATTATATAGTTATGAGTTTACTAATGGAACATTTGACCAAATAATTATCAATGACCAAGTTTTTGTAGGTGGGGCAGTTCGACTGCGGTACCCTTGAGATATATATTATCAAAATCAGAAAGAGATTTCATATAAGCTTCAAAATGTTTCGCTATAACGTTCTAAATGCTGTGCACAGTCTACCCGAAAAATTGCCGAATACAACGGCAAATCATGAAGTACTTGTTACATTCATTGTTTTCTATTTTGTCCAGTTACGCACGTCGGCATCAGACTCGCTATGTCTGTAGTGTGTGCCGAGAAAGTTGTTCTGTATTTTCATTGGCTGACAAGATGTCATTCTAAGGTTTTGACCGAGGCCAAATAACTATTTATATAAGCTAAAAACTAGAGAAATATACATTGTCCTGACTAGTATTTTATAATTCACCAGTTTTCGGGGAATAACTTATCTGCGTCGCGTATATTATCTCTGCTCGACCAGACTGGGATCTTGTATGGAAACTTGATACGTTTATAATGAGAACTAGGTTCCTAATTTTTTCAACAAAATAATTCCAGTGTAATTTTATAGCAGATGATTTCTATTTTCCCCCGTCTGAAGCATAATCCCAGACACCCTGCAGCCACCCATTTGACACAAAAGGAACTGCAATTACATTTATTGATAGGGGTGGGTGTGCTGGTTGAACTGTATCACATTTTGCTGACAAATAATATTTCTGATAAATTGTATGGTTTATTATTTTTATTATTTTAACATCAAGGGGTGCCTCCGTTTCGCTTGATTCTTCTTCACCTTCACTGGAAGATTGTCTTCTAAGATGTAAAATCGGATCGTATTGATACGGTCTACAATTCACCAGTTTTCGGTCTTGGTCAGTTCACATAGCAGCTTATCTGTTAATCTGTATGTTTTATTTCACTTGGACTTAAAATAGACCTTGCTCTTTCGTCGTCTGTGCACAATGATAACCCTTTCATCCGTTCCTGTAACATACTTGACATTTAACTCATTTCTAAACTCTCGTTATCTTCTTCAGCCACCCACGCTGTCAGTAACGTTGACATAACAGTAACAAACCGGGGCAAAGTTGAAGGGAGACAACTCCTTGCGCTCTGAGATGAGATCGTTCAATCTGACTCTTAAATGTCAGGAACATATTATAAACTTCTTTAATTTTAAATCAGTGTAACGTTATGTGAATCTAATGTGTTATTATTGAACGGTTATAAATGTTTCAGAAATTAATGTATTTAGATACATATAATGAGGCGGTTCTTATTTTTTCTTCAACTCATTACAAAATTTTACATGAATCCGATGGATAATAATATCGCAAGTTCCCAGTAATAAAAAAAAGTATGTTTTCCATATGATTCTATGTCTGGATCTGATCAACTCAACTACCATGCACATCGCCCTTAAACTATATAACTGTAATTATTCCCCGCAACGGGGGTATTAAAATGGATTTCAGAAATGACTTCAGGAACATCTTCTATTGCTTCAGAATCCTTAGGGGCGATGGGGTAGCCTAGTGGTTAACGCGTTCGCTCGTCACGCCGAAGACCCGGGTTCGATTCCCCACATGGGTAAAATGTGTGAAGCCCATTTCTGGTGTCCCCACGCCGTGATATTGCTGGAACAAAGAAGGGAATATCGCTAAAAGCGGCGTAAAACTAAAACTCACTCACTCAGAATCCTAAGACACTGTTACGTTGGTGCTAAAAGGCCAAATCTAAGACACTGTTACGTTGTGAGGCCAAATCAAAGAGAAAGCCATCAGCAACAGGCACATGTGACGTCATGTCACGTGATACCCCCTCTGCTCATTAACTGTCGGCATTCGTCACCACTCGCCTCTTTCCGTAACCGCTATTCGGCTTGTCCCGGAATAACACGAGTTGGTCACGAATGTGCTTTTGCGTGTTTAAAGCGATTTTACCAACTTTTTTTTCAATTTTTAATGACGGAAGGTGACTTTTCGAATGAATTTACCTCTACGAAAAGTGTTGTGTTCGTTAGTATTCTCCTTTAAATGGACCCGTGAAGG